TTGCTGCTGCTGCTGCTGCTGCTGCTGCTGCATGTGCATACAGATGCTGCAGCAAAGGATTCTTTACTTTCCCGCTGCAGCAGCAGCACTCCAAATGAGTTGCTGCTGCTGCTGCTGCTGCTGCTGCTGCTGCTGCTGCTGCTGGGTCTGCTGCGGGTGCTGCTGCTGCCGGTAGAGGTTATGCTGCTTGCTGGTGTTGCTGCTGCTGCTGCCTCGCGGCCCTCCCCTGCTGCTGCCCCTGTACGGCAGCTGTCTAGGAAAGGTAACGAAGCTCTCTGCTGCTGCTGCTGCTGCTGCTGCTGCTGCTGCTGGAAATGATGAAGGCAGTGCTGCAGGTTGTGCTGCTGCTGCTGCTGCTGTTCCTGCTGCTGCTGCTGCTGCTGCTGCTGGCGTATGCTGCATGCAAGTTGCTGCTTAAGGCGCTCTAGGCGCTGCAGTATGTCTTCCTTGCTGCTGCTGTCTGCGTGCTGCTGCAGGCTGTCTTTTCTTCTGGGTATGGGTTCCTCTGCTGCAGCAGCAGCAGCAGCAGCAGCAGCAGCAGCAGGGATGAAGCTGTCGCGGGCGCCGCTGGGGGACTGTGGGGCTGTCGTCAGCGTCTCAGGTGTACGTACACCCCAGCAGTCACTGGCTGTGCTGCAGGCTGCACCCTGATGTATCTTCTCCTGCTGCTGCTGCTGCTGCTGCTGCTCTTGCTGCTGCTGCGGCTGCTGCTGCTGCTGCGGCTGCTGCTGCTGATGCTGCTGCTGCTCAGGGTCACGGGAGGGAGCACCTGGGGGGGGCAGGTGCATTGCAGCAGCAGCAGACCCTCCTGTTCAGTCAACAGCTGGCTGCTGCTGCTGCTGCTGCTGCTGTTGCTGCTGCTGCTGCTGCTGCTGCTGCTGAATGGTGTGCATGCACTGCTGCAGCAGCAGTTGTTTTTGCTGCTGCAGAGGCTGTGTTTAAAGAGTTACGTTGAGGTCAAGAGAAAAGGAGAGAAGGACAAACAAAAGCTGCAGCGGAGACAGTGCAGCAGCAAGAGGTGTTGATCTACCCCTTCTGCTGCTGCTGCTGCTGCTGCTGCTGCAGCTGCTGCTGCTGCTGCTGCCGCAGATTTCTCCTGCTGCGGCGTAAAAATGAGTTAATATGAGTCATTAAATTCATAAATATTATAAAAATTAATAGCATGCAGCAGCTACACTCCAACACCGCTGCAGCTGGGGGGCCAGCAGCAGCAGCAGCAGCAGCAGCTGCAGCAGCAGCAGCAGCAGCAGCAGCAGCAGCAGCAGCAGCAG